AAAAAAATTTAAGGCCTTTTATATATAATAGGTAAAGGTAAAGGTGCCCCTGCCCGTACAGGCCAGTCTTGACAGACTCTAGGGTTGTGCGCTCATCTCACTCTAGAGGCCGGGAGCCAGCGCTGTCCGCAGACACTTCCGGGTCACGTGGCCAGCGTGACGAAGCTGCTGTGGCGAACTGGCACCAGAGCAGCACACGGAAACGCCATTTACCTTCCCACTAGAAAGCGGTACCTATTTATCTACTTGTACTTAAGGGTGCTTTCAAACTGCTAGGTGGGCAGGAGCTGGGACCAAACGACGGGAGCTCAGCCCGCCGCAGGGATTCGAACTGCCGACCATGCGATTGGCAAGTCCTAGGCGCTGAGGTTTTACCCACAGCGCCACCCGTGTCCCTTTTATATATAATAGATGTTCATAAATGTACCAACCAAACACGTACATAGATACGTGGACCACATGTCTGGAGCAGCACAGGAAGACCGTCCTGAAACCATTTTGACTCCCAAACTGACGAAATGTATTCTCTGCAAGGAGGGAGGGGTGAGGGGCCTTCCCATTGTCTCAGGAATTGGGTAATCACCGTCTCAAAGGAATGGCCAGACTACCAGGAAAGGCAATCAGATAAGACATTATCAGATAACCTGGCAGACAGGAAAAACAACAACATTCAAAGTTCTGTTGTAGACCACCTTTTCTGTGGTGTAAGTATGATGTTGGTGGGGGGTGGTCTTGGGTTACACCCCTTCTGTGATGTATGTATGATGTATGGAGGGGTGGTCTTGAGCTCCAGGGCAGGGAATTTAAAAGTTCTATATAATGGCCGGCACACCTTTGTCCGGGGTCCTCCTCCTTTCTCCTGCCTGTGAGGGGAGCAACCTGTTGCAACAGTTCAATAAAGATCAGACTTACTAGCTGCTTTGCTTCTCAATAGTCTCTGGTTGGCCTCTGTTATTTTCTCCCACTGATGGAGAACCTGCAAAGGACTCTATAAGGGCTCTTGTGTCCCCATAAGGGAATAAGGGCAGATTTTGTTTACAACAGGTACCTCTTTATCTACTTGCAGTTTGATGTGCTTTCAAACTGCTAGGTTGGCAGGAGCAGTGACAGAGCAATGGGAGCTCACCCCTTCGCGGGGATTCGAACTGCCAATCTTCTGATCGGCAAGCCCTTAGTGAGGACAATATATTCTTGCAGGAGCTGGGAGCCAAAGCAGGCGCAGTTCGGCTGGGGCAAAGTACAAGTTTATATTCCCTATGCACACGTTCCCTCCCTCCTCTTCCCGTTGGTTGGGTGCTACAAGGTTTTCCTTCCCCCAGTTATCAAATAACAGACAAGAGGCTGAACGTGGGGAGAAGCTTCTCCTTCCTCCTCAGAGTTGCCTCCACTTCCGGCTTCACCAGCAGAGATAAAATTGGAGCTGGCAAAGGAGGGAGGGGAGGAGGCGGGAAGGGGGGCTGCATTGTGCGGAGGAGGGGGCTTCTTCCTAATTAAGCCTCCTAATTAAGCGCCCTCACGCCCTGCCTCCCACGCAGGGGCTCCCATTCCCGCCCCACTGCCCAGGATTTCGGGTGAGTGCAAAGCAAAGGGCGGGGAAGGAGGGAAGGGGCTTTGCGAGGGGGTCCAGGATGAGAAGCCCCGGACGGGGAGGGGGAGAAGGGAGGAAAGGGAGCTGTTTTCTTAAAGGGGGCCTGGGGGGGGGAGAAGCTTCCTCCTGCAGGGATCTGGTACAAAGGGAGTTGCAGGGAAGGAGGGGGGGGAGAGAGGTGGGCATTGCTGGCCAGGATCGCCTTAATAGTATTACAGTGCTACCTCGGGTTACATACGCTTCAGGTTACAGACTCTGCTAACTCAGAAATAGTACCTCGGGTTAAGAACTTTGCTTCAGGATGAGAACAGAAATCGGGCTCAGCAGCGCGGTGGCGGGTGGTCCCATTAGCTAAAGTGGTGCTTCAGGTTAAGAACAGTTTCACGTTAAGAACGGACCTCCAGAACGAATTAAGTATTTAACCCAAGGTACCACTGTAATTTAAATTTAGTATCTATACCCCAGCAGAAGACCCCTCGGAGGAGGACCTTATCTTTAGGCAACAGGCGAAAGCCTTGCTCTTCTCCCAGGGTTTGGCTTATTAAACAATCTATGGACTTCACAACTGAGTTGGGGGGGTGTTGTTTTTATTTCTTACTCTGCTATGCATCTCTGTGTTTTTCTCTTGGGTAAGGTAATTGAGAGAGCGGTTGCCGAACAGCTTGGTTGGTTTCTGGAGGAAACATCGGCTTTAGATCCATTTCAGTCCGGTTTCCGTCCTGGTTTTGGGACCGAGACGGCTCTGGTTGCCCTAACAGATGATCTCCGTAGACAACTGGATCGAGGCGGGTCAGGACTGGTGATCCTTCTAGATTTGTCATGGTCGATCATTATCTTTGCCTTTGACATGGTCGATCATGATCTTCTGGACCACCGCCTCGCAGACGTGGGGATACAGGGCATAGCCCGTAACTGGCTGTGCTCTTTTATCTCTGGTCGGGGACAGAGGGTGGCACTAGGGAGGGAAATGTCTTCGCACCACTCCTTGGTGTGTGGAGTGCCACAGGGCACAATTCTCTCCCCGATGCTTTTAAACATCTTTATGCGCCCCCTTGCCCAGATTATCTGGAGCTTTGGGCTGGGCTGTCACCAATATGCTGATGACACTCAGCTCTATCTGCTGATGGATGGCCACACCGACTCGGCCCCGAACACACTGACCAGATGCTTGGAAGCTGTGGCTGGATGGTTTCGTGGGAGCCGATTGAAACTAAATTCTTCGAAGACAGAGGTCCTATGGCTGGGTCGGGATGGCATGGGGATGAGGGACCAACTCCCTTCTCTTGTGGGGGCCCAATTAGTGCCATTGCCTTCCGTTAAGAGTTTGGGTGTAATCCTTGACGCCTCCCTTTCCAGGGAGGCGCAGGTTACAGCAACAGCCAAGGTGACATTTTTCCACCTTCGCCGCATCAAGCAGTTGGTCCCTTACCTTTCCCGCCCCGACCTGGCCACAGTGATCCATGTGACAGTCATCTCCAGGCTTGACTACTGTAATTCGCTCTACGCGGGGCTGCCCTTGAAACTGTCCCAGAAACTCCAGCGGGTGCAGAATGCTGCAGCGAGGCTCCTCATGGGGTCTCTGCCATGGGAGCATATTCATCCAGTGCTTTTCAAGCTGCACTGGCTCCCGGTGGAGTACAGGGTCAGATTTAAGGTGCTGCTTTTGACCTTTAAAGCCCTTCACGGCCTAGGACCCTCATACCTATGGGACCGCCTCTCCCAGTATGCCCCATGGAGAGCCTCAAGGTCCATAAATAGCAACACCCTAGTGGTCCCGGGCCCTAAGGAAGTTAGATTGGCTTCAACCAGAGCCAGGGTCTTTTCAACTCTGGCTCCGGCCTGGTGGAATGCTCTGCCTCATTGAGACCAGGGCCCTGCAGGATCTGATATATTTCCGCAGGGTCTGTAAGACAGAGTTGTTCCGCCTGGCCTTTGGCTTGGTGCCAATTTGATTCCCTCCCTCTCTTTTTTTCTTTCCTTCTCCTCCTGCGAGGAGGCTACATTTTAATATTTTAATGTTTCAATATTTTAATGTTGTATTTTAATTTTGTTTTTAAGTTGTAATCATTCAACTTGTTTTTATTATTGCTTGTAAGCCGCTCTGAGCCCGGCCTTGGCTGGGGAGGGCGGGGTATAAAAAAATATTATTATTATTATTATTATTATTATTATTGGAAGCTGCCCTGTGATCTTTGGAGGAAGGGCAGTATAGAAATTTAAAGAACAGTAGTAAAAATAGGAAGCCCTTTTGCGTTCAGGGGGGGGGGTTGGGACAAAGTCTCTGACCAGCATGCATAGCAGGATGCGCTTAGGAGGGAATAATAATAATAATAATAATAATAATAATAATATAAATAAATAAAAACTGTGTTGCCTCAGCCACTCTGGGCGGCTTCCAACAAAAACACCAAAAATTTTAAAACATCGAAAACTTCCCTATATAGGGCTGCCATCATAAGACTACTGTTTTGTAGAAATGGCCCTCAAATTTAAAGAAATGCCCTCTTTAAGGAATCCCGTGGTGTAAACGTGTATGTTGTCCTCTAGGTCCAAACACATAGTAAGAGCAAGCAGTGCTCCAAAGTGCTTCTCTTGTGAACTTGCCATCTAAGTTGTTTACTCCTGACCAAAGCTCCTGTTTCCCAAAAGGACTGGAGGGGGAGGTCTCCTCACCACTTTTAACCCCCCCACTCCCACCGCATGGAAGGCAGAGGACGTGTTTATTCACAATCCCAGTAAACCATGTGTGTATCTGAAGTGAACTGCAGCTCCTTCCCCTCTCACTGGGGCTGCAGAGGAGGAAACGGATGGGTTTGAAGGCTCTTCCTGCCTCTCTCCCCTGAGCAACAAGAGCAAAGGGTGTTTGCAGGGCAGGAGGGCAGAGGAGGGGCAGCGAGGGCAGAGGGAGCGGATCCCCCGCCTCTCCCGGGGGTCCAGATGCAAGCAAGGGGCTTCCCTTCTCCATGCAAGGGCCACCCATGTATTCAGAGCAGTCCTTTGCAGATTAACTCTTAAGTTCCATGGGATCTACTCTCAGGCCACAAATGTGCATACCATGCCAGCCTTAGGAAGGGAGGTGGGACAGGCAGGTGAAAGGAATTGCCAAAGGTGTTTGAAAATAGGAGGGGGCTCTTGGGAAGGGGGTGCCCAGTTGGTGCTTCTCCAGGGGCAGCAGAATGTCTTGGGCAGGAGAATCCCTGCAGGGGCTCTCAGACTCCCTTGGCTTCTTCTTCCCTCCCTCCCAGGAAGCTGCAACTTGCTCTGGCTTCTGCACTCCTCAGGAAGCTGAACCTGCAAACCTAGCTGAGACTGAACCTGCAACCCTGGCCAGGATGGAAGGAGGAAGATGGACGGTTGACCTGGTCAGGCTGTCTCCCGCATCCCTCCCCACAACCTCTGAGCATTCCCTCCCAGGACCCTTGGAGAAATCTGGTGAGTTCCAGGGGAGAGGAGATGGGGACAGGGACAGATGGATGGTGGAGGGAGAAAGCGGAAAAGATGGAGAGGAGACAAATGGAAGGAAGTTCCTGACATGTAAGAAGGAAGGGGTGAGGCCTTCTCCAAAGCAGCTCTTTGTTTCTTGAATCCCTTTCATAAAGTACAGTGGTACCTCGGGTTACATACGCTTCAGGTTACAGACTCCGCTAACCCAGAAATAGTACCTCTGGTTAAGAACTTTGCTTCAGGATGAGAACAAAAAACGCGCGGCAGTAGCAGGAGGCCGCATTAGCTAAAGTGGTGCTTCAGGTTAAGAACAGTTTCAGGTTAAGAACAGACCTCCGGAACGAATTAAGTACTTAACCTGAGGTACCACTGTAGTGGGGGGCAGATTTTCTTCCTCCAGGATTTTAAATCTTAGGAGTTACAGTGGTACCTTGGTTCTCAAACATAATAGGTTCCGGAAGACTTCCAAAACCAAAGCGTTTCAAAACCAAGGCGTGCTTTCCCATAGAAAGTAATGCAAAATGGATTACTGTATTTTTCGTCCCATAGGACGCACCTAGTTTTTTGGGGGGGAAATAAAGGGGAAAATTTCCTTTATTTCCCCCCCAAAAGCAGGTCGGGGAAACCGAACCAGGTCCAGGAACAGCGGGATGACGGCGCTGCGCCTCACCGCTGTCCCCCGAGCTTGTGGGGCTGGCCGATGTCTGTCCGGCACGAGGGGCGCTCTGCTTTAGGGTGCCCCGCCGCTGGGCGGCAGGCTGCTATCCGCAGCGTGGGGAGCCCTGCGGGGAACTCCTGCAGGGCTCCCCATGCTGCGGATGTCTGCCCGGCGCGAGGGGCGCTCTGCTTTCAGGGCACCCGACGCTCCGGGAAGCAGGCTGCTATCCGCAGCCTTGACATCCCTGCGGGACCTCCTGCAGGGCTGCCTAGGCTGTAGATGTCTTCCTGAAGCCTGCAGAGCGAGAGGGGTCAGTGCGCACCGACCCCTCTCGCTCTCCAAGCTTCAGCGAAAGCATGCATTCGCCCCATAGGACACACCCAGATTTCCCCTTCATTTTTGGAGGGGGAAAAGTGCGTCCTATAGGGCGAAAAATACGGTAATCCATTCCAGACTTTTAAAAACAACCCCTAAAACAGCAATTTAACATGAATTTTACTATCTAACAAGACCATTGATCCATAAAACGAAAGCAGTAATCAATGTTCTGTACCATAAAATAAAGAAGACAGTATTGTTGATGATAAAAATTAAAATTAAAAAAGAAGCCACAATCAAAAATGAAAAAGCCACACAAACAAAAATGCAAAAAGTAGGAAAAAACTAAAGCACCAAATGTCACCTCAGAACACTGCAACCAGAAACAGCTTGAATATTGATGGGCCGGGGGCTTAAATCAGCTGTGCAAGGGAACAAATGGGATGAAAAAAAGCTTTAATTACAATGGGAGGGGGGACTTAAATTAGCTGCTCAAGGATACAAGTGGGATGGAAAAAAACCTTAATTACGATGGGGGGGGGACTTAAATTTGCTGTGCAACAGTAAAAATGGAAGCTCTTCGGTTTCCAAGGAAAAGTTCAAAAACAGGAGCCCCTATTTCTGGGTTTGCAAATGATGAATCAACAGAAGCATAGTCAATCTATGGACTTCCCTTTTTTTGAAATATTTTTATTGGTTTTTACAACTGCAAGTTTATATCAAATACATTTATATAATCAATTCCTGAGATTCTCTGAATCACATGACTTCGCTCCATCCCTTTCATGGGTCCTGATAGTACCGTATTTTTTGCTCCATAAGGCGCACCGGACCATAAGACGCACCTAGTTTTCAGAGGAGGAAAACAGGGGGAAATATTCTGAATCAAATGTTGTACTAAACTATTTAATAAACTACTGGTATATCAGATACAGATAGGTAGCCGTGTTGGTCTGCCATAGTCAAAATAAAAAAATTCCTTCCAGTAGCACCTTAAAGACCAACTAAGTTAGTTCTTGGTATGAGCTTTCGTGTGCATGCACACTTCTTCAGATACATTATTTTGGTATATCAGAGTCAGACTAAGAGGGACAGGAGCTGTATGTTTGTTTAGTGTGCAGGTTCAAGGAGCCAGCGGATCAGCTGAGACGCGGGGGATTTGTGTAATTTCCCCTTCTCCCTCATCCTCTGCCCTGCAGTCTCCAGCAGCCTTCCTTTTTTACTTCCTGGTTTTCACTGCGCTGGTGGCTCAGAGCTCGAGGTTGGTTGTTTTTTTTTTGCTGCTGGTTGCTTAAATTTTATCCTTCCCGATCCTTCCCCTCCTGTGTCCTGCCGTCCCTCTGCAGCCTCATTGCTCCGTTTAGGGAGCGGGCGGACCTTCTGCAGCTATTGCTGGCTGCGCACCACTTTAAAAAGTGCCTTCTGGCTTTGAATCACCTGTCTCCCTTTACTATTTTACCTAAGGTATTTGCCCTGTGCCTGGGGTTTTTTTTCCATTTAACAGTTTGCAGCCTTTTCGTTCCGTTGCTTATTTTGAGGCAGGATAGATTTGAGCAAGTGATCAGGACTTGGATTGCAGGGGATTCGCCATTAGCTGTGTAAAAGCGCTCCTCCTTGCAGCCTTCTACTTTGTTTGTACACGTGGCTACTGGTATCAGGTTCAGTTTGAGTAATGAACAGCCACTGGCAGCAATAGAATGGAGCATAAAAAAGAAGTAGGGGCACTGGGACCCAGACAATGCTCAAATCTATCCTGCCTCAAAACAAGCTGCAGAAGTAAAAACCCCGCTCCCCTGCCCCTCATCCCGTGCCTTCCCCAGCATTTTTTTTTTTTGCTTCCTGGTTTTCACTGCGCTCGTTAGCAAGGTGATGTCTCTACTTTTTCATTATATACCATTTCCCAAAATGATACTGTTATCTTACATGACCACCACATATAGCAAAAGGTGCCCGCTTCTTTACATTTCCAGCAGATATTTGAACTTACTCTATACGTTTTAGATAACTTACTAGGAGTCAAATACCACCAGTACATCATTTTCATGTAGTTTTCTTTCAATGAACAGCAAGCTGTGAATTTCAGATTTGTTTTCCAAAGCCTCTCCCAATCTGCCATTTGTATGTTATGTCCTAAGTCCCTTTCCCAAGAACTAAGAGTTCTTTTTGAAATTGTGATGTCTCATAACTAAAACCTTTCTTTTTGTCTATCTTAAAGATATCGTTTAGTTGATGGTACTGTAACCAGTCAGGTACAGCTTCCCTTATCTCTTCAAAATCGTTTAATTTCAGTTGGTTTTCAACTGCAGTTAACACCTCTCTGTAAGTCGGCCAATTACTTCTCATATTCAATTTTTTTCAGAGATATTGCTTCCAAGGGGGAAAGCCACCAGGGTGTTTTTTACTGAAGCAAATTTTTATACTTTTCCCATACCCTAAACATTGGTTTTCTTACTATATGATTCTGAAAAGCTCTATGCACCTTGGCCTTTTCCTACCATAAATATGCATGCTATACATTATTTGTGTCCTTCCAGATCTAAAATACAGTATCTGTGTTTTCTAATGTAATCCATTCCCGGTTCTAGCAGATACAGGATGCTTCATAATAAAGTTTCAAATCCGGCAGGGTGAAACCTCCTCTCTCTCTTACATCTGTTAATAATTTATTTTTTATACTTGGTTTCGTCCCTTGTCTGATAAACCTAGATATATCTTCTTGCCATTTTTCAAAGCATCCTGTGTTGCCTATTGCCTGGACTGCTTAGAATAAAAATAACATTTTTGGCAATACATTCATTTTTATTACTGATATTCCACCCCAAAATGATAAATTCATTCTTCCCCATATCTCTAAAGCTCTTTTTATTTCTTTCCACTCATTCTTGTAATTGTCCTTAAAAATATTAATATTCTTAGCTGTCAAACAGATATCCCAGTATTTGACTTTGTTATGTATAACTAACTCTGTTTTCTGTTGTAATTTCTTTTGGTCTTGCTCCATTGTGTTTTTTACCAAAAACTTAGAATCATAGAATCATAGAGTTGGAATAGACCACAAGGGCCATCGAGTCCAACCCCCTGCCAAGCAGGAAACACCATCAAAGCACTCCTGACATATGGTTGTCAAGCCTCTGCTTAAAGACCTCCAAAGCAGGAGACTCCACCACACTCCTTGGCAGCAAATTCCACTGTCGAACAGCTCTTACTGTCAGGAAGTTCTTCCTAATGTTTAGGTGGAATCTTCTTTCTTGTAGTTTGGATCCATTGCTCCGTGTCTGCTTCTCTGGAGCAGCAGAAAACAACATTTCTCCCTCCTCTATATGACATCCTTTTATATATTTGAACATGGCTATCATATCACCCCTTAACCTCCTCTTCTCCAGGCTAAACATGCCCAGCTCCCTTAGCCGTTCCTCATAAGGCATCGTTTCCAGGCCTTTGACCATTTTGGTTGCCCTCCTCTGGACACGTTCCAGTTTGTCAGTGTCCTTCTTGAACTGTGGTGCCCAGAACTGGACACAGTACTCCAGGTGAGGTCTGACCAGAGCAGAATACAGTGGCACTATTACTTCCCTTGATCTAGATGCTATACTATTGATGCAGCCCAGAATTGCATTGGCTTTTTTAGCTGCCACGTCACACTGTTGGCTCATGTCAAGTTTGTGGTCAACCAAGACTCCTAGATCCTTTTCACATGTACTGCTCTCAACCCAGGTGTGACCCATCTTGTATTTGTGCCTCTCAATTTTTTTGCCCAAGTGCAATACTTTACATTTCTCCCTGTTAAAGCTCATCTTGTTTGTTTTGGCCCAGTTCTCTAATCTGTCAAGGTCGTTTTGAAGTGTGATCCTGTCCTCTGGGGTGTTAGCCACCCCTCCCAGTTTGGTGTCATCTGCAAATTTGATCAGGATGCCCTTGAGTCCATCATCCAAGTCGTTGATAAAGATGTTGAATAAGACCGGGTCCAAGACAGAACCCTGTGGCACCCCACTAGTCACTCTTCTCCAGGATGAAGAGGAACCATTGATGAGCACCCTTTGGGTTCGGTCAGTCAGCCAGTTACAAATCCACTGAGTGGTAGCATAGTCAAGACCGCATTTTACCAGCTTCTTTACAAGAATATCATGGGGCACCTTGTCGAATGCCTTGCTGAAATCAAGGTAGGCTACATCCACTGTGTTCCCTTCATCTACCAGGCTTGTAATTCTGTCAAAAAACGAGATCAGGTTAGTCTGACATGACTTATTTTTCAGAAATCCATGCTGACTATTGGTGATCACAGCATTCCTTTCTAGGTGCTCACAGACTGTTTGCTTAATGATCTGCTCCAGAATCTTCCCTGGTATTGATGTCAGACTGACTGGGCGATAATTATTTGGGTCCTCTCTTTCCCCCTTTTTGAAAACAGGGACAACATTTGCCCTCCTCCAGTCTGCCGGGACTTCGCCTGTTCTCCAGGAATTCTCAAAGATGACTGCCAGTGGTTCTGAGATCACATCTGCCAGTTCTTTTAATACTCTTGGATGCAGTTCATCTGGCCCTGGAGACTTGAATACATCTAAACTAGCCAAGTATTCTTGTACTATCTCCTTAGTTATTCTGGGCTGTGTTTCCTCTGCTGAATCATTTGCTCCAAATTCTTCAGGTCGGGCATTGTTTTCTTTATCGGAGAAGACTGAGGCAAACAAGGCATTGAGGAGTCTTATTCTTGTTTAGTTTAAAGCCCCCGGCCTGCCCGAAGTCCTGCATCTTTTCTACCACCTTCGGTGGAGTATTTATGGAATCCTTCACTGTAATTACAAGGTGAACTGTGAAAGCTTTTAATTTATATGCTTTATTTTCTACTGTTATTCCTGTAATTAATTTCTCCACTTTGTCTCCCTCACCAGGGCCTCTAATACCAAAATAAATAATAATGGTGATAGGGGATATCCTTGTCTTGTCCCCTTCCTTATTTTACACTTTTCTGTTATCACCATATTAACAATCAGCATAGACTGTTGGTAGAAATAAATTGCATCAATTCCTCTCCCAAATGCTTCCTCAAAATTCATTTTTTCTTTTATCTTTTTCATAAAAGCCCATGAAACATTATCAAAAGCCTTTTCAGCATCTATAAACATTAAGCCCGCTTTTTTCTCAATTTTTACTTCCAAGTATTGAATAATATCAATTATATTCCTTATATTTGTCGGGATTCAAGCCTATATGAGTAGTAACTGGCAACTCTCCAGGCACCCGGCTTGATCTCCTGTTAACCTCCCTGTCTGCATTCCTCAGCGAGATCCAGGCAGAGGTCGCGATAGGCGATCCTTCTCAGTGTGAGAAGAACACCCCCCCTCTTTCTTGCCCCCCCAGCAGGGAAAAGAGATAGACAGAAACGTATTTACATGCCTTTATTTCTGTCTTTGCAGCATTACAAAAAACATGACTGCTCTCTTCAAGCTCCAGCAGTCGAATGACAAACACTTCCTGTACTTCCTGTACAGCTCATATTACACTCTGAGCTAATTCCGGTGCTTCACACTGAATTGACTGTCCCTCTGTTTCCCACGGACAGTCCCAACATCATGTGATGTTTTCAAGCTCGCAGCTCGCAGCTGCATTGCTTCTATATCGTAACAATATTTTCCTTCATCTGACGTCCTGGTAGAAAGCAGGCCTGATTGTGCTGAATTTTTTCTGCTAAAACACCTTTCATTCTATTGCCCAAAATATGAGCAATACTCTAAATGGAGTATTTTTCTCGCCTTTTAGTTCAAGAATTATTGATTTGTGGTCCGAAAGTGTTCTTAGTTGTATTTCTGCATTTTTAATCTATGGAATTCCATCCTACAGGAATGATGGCCAACAATTTGGATAGCTTGAAAAAAGAGGATTAGACTGACGTCTCTGCTCTGCCCTCGTGGTCCTAGGCAATTATGCTTCTTAATACTAGTTCCTGGAAAGCACAGGAAGGCAGAGGGCTCTTGTACTCAAATCCGGCTTGCTGGTTTCCCACAGGCATCTAGCTGGCCACTGTGAGAACAGGATCCTGGACTAGGTGGGCCTTTTCCCAATCAAGCAAGCTCTTCTTATGTTCTAATACAGGCATCCCCAAACTTGGCCCTCCAGATGTTAAGGACTACAACTCCCATCATCCCTAGCTAACAGGACCAGTGGTCAGGGATGATGGGAATTGTAGTCCCAAAACATCTGGGGGATGTTTGGGGATACTAATATATTGGAATATTTTTACAGTTACATGTGGCAAAGTAACACTTCAGTTTTCTTAGTCATAGGAGAGACTGCTACTCGAACCTGTGATCATTTCCTCCCTGGAAAAAGAGAAATACAGAGATGTGTCTAAGAAGCCAATTCCACCATAGATTATAAAATAATGCAGTTTATTAAGTGTGAATGGAATGACCATGTGTTGTTCTTGCCATTATCTGCATTCCTAAAAGTTTGGAACATAGATAGGACAGTGGAGAAAGGAGACAGTGTTAAAATAGGAGAAGGTGCATATTGCGATTGACGTGTGTTCAGTTCCTTTCTTGTAAGTCTTAACAGGATTCTCTTCCCCTTCCTCCCCATTCCCAAACAGGTGAGGAACATGATGGCCAGAATTCTATGGAGCCATCTGTGAATTCATTGGGAAGAACAAAAAAACAGTTTAAATGCCTGGAACGTGGGATGTGCTTTAGTCACCGTGGAAGACTGAGGACACATCAACGAATCCACATAGAGGAGAAACCATTTAAATGTACTGACTATCGAAAGAGCTTCAGGGACAATGGAACTCTTAGAAAACATCAAGGAACTCACACAGGGGAGAAACCATTTGAATGTATTGAATGTGGAAAGAGCTTCGGTAAAAATGGAGCACTAAGAACACACCAACGAACTCACACGGGGGAAAAACCATTTGAATGTACTGAATGTGGAAAGTGCTTCAGTCGATATGGAACACTTAGAATGCACGAACGAACTCACACAGAGGAGAAACCATTTAAATGTATTGAATGTGGAAACAGCTTCAGTCAAAATGGAAACCTTAGAATACATCAACGAACTCACACAGGGGAAAAACCATTTGAATGTACTGAATGTGGAAAGTGCTTCAGTCGATATGGAACACTTATAATACACCAACGAACTCACACGGGGGAGAAACCATTTGCATGTATTGAATGTGGAAAGAGCTTCAGTCAATATGGAACACTTAAAATACACCAACGAACTCACACGGGGGAGAAACCATTGAAATGTATTGAATGTGGAAAGGGCTTCAGTGAAAGTGGAGCACTTAGAAGACATGTACAAACTCACATAGAAGAGAAACCTTTTAAATGTATTGCATGTGGAAAGGGCTTCAGTAAGAGTGGAGACCTTAGAATACACCAAGGAACTCACATGGGGGAGAAACCATTTAAATGTATTGAATGTGGAAAGAGCTTCTGTAGAAGTGGGACACTTAGAAGACATCAACGAACTCACACAGAGGAGAAACAATTTAAATGTATTGAATGTGGAAAGAGCTTCAGTAGAAGTGAACACCTTAGAAGACATCAACTAACTCACACGGGGGAGAAACCTTTTAAATGTATTGAATGTGGAAATAGCTTCAGTCAAAGTGGAGCACTTAGAATACACCAACGAACTCACACGGGGGAGAAACCATTTAAATGTTTTGAATGTGGAAAGAGCTTCAGTAGAAGTGGACACCTTAGAGTACACCAACGAACTCACACGGGGGAGAAACCATTTGAATGTATTGAATGTGGAAACAGCTTCAGTCAAAATAGATACCTTAGAATACATCAACGAACTCACACGGGGGAGAAACCATTTAAATGTTTTGAATGTGGAAAGTGCTTCAGTGAAAGTGGAGCACTTAGAAGACACCAACAAACTCACACGGGGGAGAAACCATTTGCATGTATTGAATGTGGAAACAGCTTCAGTCAAAATGAATACCTTAGAATACATCAACGAACTCACACGGGGGAGAAACCATTTAAATGTATTGAATGTGGAAAGAGTTTCAGTAGAAGTGGACACCTTAGAATACATCAACGAACTCACACGGGGGAGAAACCATTTGAATGTATTGAATGTGGAAAGAGCTTCAGTCAAAATGTAATACTTAGAAGACATCTACAAACTCACATAGAGGAGAAACCATTTAAATGTATTGAATGTGGAAAGAGCTTCAGTAAAAGTGGACACCTTAGAATACACCAGCAAACTCACACGGGGGAGAAACCATTTAAATGTACTGAATGTGGAAAAAGCTTCAACAGGAAGGATAAACTTACATTACATTGGCAAACTCACACAGCGGAGAAGCTTTAGTCAATATGGAACCTTAGGAAATATCCACTAATTTACATGGGGAGGTCTTAATACAGTGGTACCTCGGGTTACGTACTTAATTTGTTCTGGAGGTGTATTCTTAACCTGAAACTATTCTTAACCTGAAGCACCACTTTAGCTATTCGGGCCTCCTGCTGCCGCCACGCCACCACCACATGATTTCCATTCTTATCCTGAAACAAAGTTCTTAACCCGAGGTACTATTTCTGGGTTAGCACTGTCTGTAACCTGAAGCTTATGTAACCTGAAGCATATGTAACCCGAGGTACCACTGTATAGTACTTTCTAGAGCAGTTTCTCAACCTGTGGGCCCCCAGATGTTGCTGAACTGCAACTCCCATCACCCCTAGCTAGCAAGGCCAGAGCTCAGGGATGATGGGAGTTGTAGTCCAACAACATCTGGGGACCCACAAGTTGAGAACCGCTGCTCTAGAAGGTTTTCTGTTGTAATTATTAGATTGTCTGCGAAGGCTCCGACCTTATAGGCCAGGGGTCTGCAACCTTTAAGACAAAAAGAGCCACTAGGACCCGTTTCCGAAGAAAAACAACAACTGGGAGCCGCAAAACCATTGCGACATTTAAAGCATGCGCGCCGCTGCCCTCTGATCTGACAGCGGGCGGGAAGGTGACGTTGGGACGGTGCGTGACTAACGCACGCACCGCCCCCATGCGACGTCACAGCCAGTACAGCGCCCGCCACAGTGGGGAGTGTCGGGGCGCACAATGCGCCTCCTCCCCTCGCTAGTATCCGCCCCGGAGCCGCGGCAAAGGTGTAAAAGAGCCACATGCGGCTCTGGAGCCGCAGGTTGCAGACCCCTGTTATAGGCCCTTTGTCAAACTTTAATTCCTTCTATTCTAGGGTCTTCTCTTATTGCTTTCAAATACACTTCCAGAAGTGTGATAAAGAGGAGAGGAGAAAGAGGGCAGCCCTGTCTTGTTCCCTTAGAGATATTAAAAGCTTCTGATGTTTCACCATTTATAATTAGTCTGACCTGTTGGGAATTATAAATCGCTTTTATACCACTACATATTTTCTCACCCAAACTCATCATTTCCAAAGTGTTTTGCATGAATGCCCCCAAAACATGATCCAATGCTTTCTCCGCATCCACCAAGATCTTGGCTGCCTTTTTATCTGCTCTCATTTCTAGGTATACTATTGTATCTACTACCAATCTTACGTTGCTGTAAATTTGTCTTGGTCTATAAATCTTAATTTACTCTAAATTGGGTCCATATTTCAGTATCAATGTAATTAGGGCCTCTTGTCATTATTCTGGCACTTGTCCTCCTTCTAAAATTTTGTTCCTTATTTTTTCTAACATTGGTAATATGATCTCTTCCAATTTTTTGTAATTCATTAAAGAAATGCCATCCGCACCAGGGACTTTACCATTCTTAGAAGTCACAATTCCTTCTTTTATTTCATTAATATTAATAGGGACATTTAAGTATTTCTATTCTTTCTCTTATTTTTGTGGCAGTCAACCACAAAGAATCTTGAGGCAGGTTACACATTTATTCCAGTTCAGTCTTTGGTTATTGACATTTCTATCCCACAACCCTATCCACCTAGCAGACTGCCTCTCTCCCCTGGCCCTACAAGCCCATCAGTAACATTTTCTGTAGAGACACTGGGGATTGTTCCAGGACACTTGTCACTTGCTGACAATGCAGAAGGAGGCCCCCTTGGTACACCCAGAAGATACCAGATGTTGGTTGTAGTTACGTCTATACAAAGTGCATAGCCTTTGACCCTCCATAAAGAAATGGGGAGGAATGAGGAGCCTGAATAGCTGACTAGTAGGAAAGGTACCCTGGTAAGCTTCTGTCAATTCTTGAGGGGGTTTTGTATCATTTAACTTCAAAATGTGGGAAATGTTTGTGGGGCCTCCTCCTCCCCCGGTTGCTGCTGCTGAGTGGGGCCCTGGATATCTGCCCCAAACGTTTGCCTTGATGGTAGCAGGATGGAAGAAGTCAAGTGCCCAGAATCAAAAAGGAAAAGTATTTTCTGCATCTTTTCTTGAACAAAATGGGTATGTCTGAAACCTCAGACAAAGTTCATGTTGACAGTAATAATAATAATAATAATAATAATAATAATAATAATAATAATAATAATAATAATAATTTATTATTTATACCCCGCCCATCTGGCTGGGTTTCCCCAGCCACTCTGGTCGGCTTCCAAAAGAATATTAAAATACTATGATACATCAAACATTAAAAGCTTCCCTAAACAGGGCTGCCTTCAGATGTCTTCTAAAACTCTGGTAGTTGTTTATCGCTTTGACATCTGATGGGAGGGTGTTCCACAGGGAGGGCGCCACTACCGAGAAGGCCCTCTGCCTGGTTCCCTGTAATTTGGCTTCTCGCAGTGAGGGAACCGCCAGAAGGCCCTCGGTGCTGGACCTCAGTGTCCGGGTAGAACGATGGAGGTGGAGACGCTCCTTCAGGTATACTGGACCAAGACCGTTTAGGGCTTTAAAGGTCAGCACCAACACTTTGAATTGTGCTCGGAAATGTACTGGGAACCAATGTAGGTCTTTCAAGACCGGTGTTATATGATCTCGGCGGACGTTCCCAGTCACCAGTCTGGCTGCTGCATTCTGGATTAGTTGTAGTTTCCGGGTCACCTTCAAAGGTAGCCCCACGTAGAGCGCATTGCAGTAGTCCAAGTGGGAGATAACCAGAGCATGCACCACTCTGGCGAGGCAGTCCGCGGGCAGATAGGGTCTCAGCCTACGTACCAAATGGAGCTGGTACACAGCTGCCCTGGACACGGATTTAACCTGTGCCTCCATGGACAGCTGTGAGTCCAAAATGACTCCCAGGCTGCGCACCTGGTCCTTCAGGGGCACGGTTACCCCATTCAGGACCAGGGAATCCCCCACACCTGCCCGCCTCCTGTCCCCCAGAAACAGTACTTCTGTCTTGTCGGGATTCAATCCCAATCTGTTTACCGCCATCCATCCTCCAACCGCCTCCAGACACTCACACAGGACTGTCACCGCCTTCACTGGTTCTGATTTGAAAGAAAGGTAGAGCTGGGTATCATCTGCATACTGATGAACACCCAGCCCAAACCCCCTGATGATCTCTCCCAGCGGCTGCATGTAGATGTTAAAAAGCATGGGGGAGAGGACAGAACCCTGAGGCACCCCACAAGTGAGAGCCCAGGGGTCTGAACACTCATCCCCCCCCCACTTTCTGAACACGGCCCAGGAGGAAGGAGTATCTAAACTGTTATTCATAACCCAGTTAATATATTTATTACTGCTGATATAAAGATAAATGCAATATAATGTTGTCTGAAACAAACACTTTGACCAGATGATCTTGCCTTCTGGGAGGTGGGGCAAGATGCTGAGGGAATCTATTCTATCGGGGGGGGGAGCTCAGTGCACCCAGAAGATTCCAGTTGTGGGTTGTAGTTGCATCTATACAAAGTGCATAGCATTTGCCCCTCCATAAAGAAAGAAATGGGGAGGAGACAAGAGCTGGAATAGCTGACCAGAAGGAAAGGTAACCTGGGAACTTCATGTTGATCGACCACCTCAGCTCCCTGACCCCAAGAAAAGACCAGTCCAGGGAGGCAGGTGAGCATTACAGCTACACCCCACATTATGCTCTCCAGTAGCTATTCCTTCAGACAGGCCTATTTTCATTCAGTTCTTCGTGTGTCCATGGGTGGGTGTGTTTTACGTTTCCTTTCCCCCTTCCTTGCAATCCTGACAAAAATCAAACCTCCACGCCAATGCTTTCAGCCCCAGAAGAGGAGCTCCCCTTGGTGTCAAGGGAGGGGGGTTCAAGGGAGCATCTGGAGCCCTGCCATTCCTTCTGTCCCTGGCCCCTTCCCCTCCTCTCTCTGCCATCCCAGGGCCACTCTTGACTCCCCAGCAGGAGACTGGATCTGTCTGTGATGGTGAGATGTCCTGGCTGGTTGAAGGACCACTTCCTGTTTCCTGGAGCTCCTTCTTTCTCATGCCAGGTGGAGTCATGAAGCAGGTGAAGACTGAGCACACCTAAGGACAACATGGGGGGGATTCTGCTTAACCTTTCCCCCTCTGCTCCTTTTCTGGATCAAAATCCCCAGCTAATCTGTCAAGCTGCTGCTGCTGCATCTCACTGTTCCTGTGTCTCTGGAGTGTTTCTTTGAGGAGAATACAGGACACTGCAAAAGACATTGTGTGTAATTAGTGTGCAATAAGGTAGACAGAGGCTGAGCCCTCCCTGTAATGCAAACAGGGAGACTTCTGCCCGGGGGATTTCTGTATAAAAAATTATTTGCTGAGGTGGAAGGGGGGGACTAAGTGTTATGTATTGAAGTTCTCACCCTGCCCACCAGGGGTATTGTGTGTATAGTTTTCACTCAGGTCCACATCAGACAATTTAGGCGGGAAACCCTGGGTTGTTGTTGACAGCCGGCTGCCTATAAAAGGAGGGCGGCTGAGCTGTTTGCTGTTCAGTTCAGTTCCAGCTTACTATAAAGAACCACTTGGAGAAATCTCTGTGGCATCTGCTATGTCCACCCACAATTTAATGCTAAGTGAGGTTGGAGTGGAACCATGTTTGCATGAACATGAGAAGGCAAAATATGTTCTCCATTTAAATATTTATTAAAATAATTTATTCAGTTACCCAGAAGAGTTATTAGGCTCTTTTGCCATAAGCTACTTCATACATTGTAAGAAATGGGTCCTGAGACCCTTGATCCCCTTCCTTAAAATACCATCTGAACAAAATTGGAGAAGCAGTAAAGAGTTTTTTGAGGACAATAGGTAAAGGTAAAGGGACCCCTGACCGTGAGGTCCAGTCATGACTGACTCTGGGGTTGCAGTGCTCATCTCGCTTTACTGGCCGAGGGAGCCGGCATACAGCTTCTGGTTCATGTGGCCAGCATGACTAAGCCGCCTCTGGCGAACCAGAGCAGTGCACGGAAACGCCTTTTATCTTCCCGCTGGTGCGGTATGTAGTAAAAAAAAAAAAAAGGTCTTATATATATAATAAATGTTCATAAATGTACCAACCAAGCACGTGCATAGATATGTGGACCACAAGTCTGAAGCAGCACAGGAAGACTGTCCTGAAACCATTTTG